ACAGCCCTGACAGCAAATACCATATTTATTAATCACATGAGAGACAGAAATACACAGCCATAGTGGTACCAAATCAGCAGGACTGCCCTGAAAAGCAAAACAGGAGCAGTAGAAAACAAATAGTCAAGCTTTGGATTTATAGCAATGATCTAATTGACTCTAATGAGTAGAGTAATGCCATGTATGATAAACTGATAATTTGAAATACAGCTGGAAAAGCACACATTTCACTATGTTAAAAATATCTTATACAGTGATGTCACCTAAGGGATCATTGCATGGATGAGGGACTGGCACAGGGAAGCAATTGTCTGCTTTCACAACACAGTTAAACAGTTTCCACACTCTCAGGGCTCCTCAGAATGGTGGTGACTTGGAGAAATCCTTTTGCAGTGTGGAGGAACAGTTTCCACTCCATGATCCAAGGATGGTATCTCACACTGTGAGCTTTCATGAGCACCATGAGTTTGTCCAGCTAGTGGAGCTCCATCTACCCACCCTAGGGCCAAGGAGCACGTGTGAATGGAGACAGAGCATGAGAGATCCACAATGAAGCAAGCAGGGACCATAGCAAATTGCCAGCACAGATATTGCCTCAGGAAGATGTTCTGAGGAACAGAGGAGCTTTCAACTGTGCCCAGTCAAGACCTGGCCCAGCCATCTCACCAATCCATGTCCCTCAGAAAACACTGCCCTGACCTCAAGGCAAAGAGGAGTCAAACAGATTTGCCATCCTGGAGATCAGACAGGAAGCAAGAGTGGATCTCTTCATGAGGTGTCAGTGAAAGAAAAAAGATATCACCTCTTCTTATGGATTAGAAGGTTTTGTAATCCCTTCAAAAAGAGAAATCTCCAATGGATGGATGGCACCAAAGATTTTCTTTTCTCTCTTTCCTTTTTTGGGGGAGATATTGGTGAATGTTCTCAAAAAAAACAGAACCAATATAACTACATATTTGCATATGAGTTACATACAGTAACTCTTCTGGGAGATGTAGTACTCTGGAGATTGCCACTTCTGGTCCATGGGACAAGACAAAGTCTTGATCACAGAGGGGATTTACATTACAGGATGCTTTGATTTGGAGGCAAGAGAGCAGAGAACCAGGCACTGGAAAAAGAGCAATTGTGGAAAGTTAAATCATCAATAGTGAACTTTTAGGTCACTTTTAGAGGTACAGCATTACTTTCCAACCTTGCCAAAGTTGTTTCACCAACATAAACTAGTCAGCTGCTTCTTTGTCCCTTTTACCTCTCCCTGACACCTTTTTAAAAAAAAAAAAACCCCAAAACAACAAACTGGGGGATCTTTGGTCTAAGAGTCACCTGGCAGTAACTGCATCTTTCTCACAAATACTGTCTGTGAGTTGGCTTTCCTCCTTCGTTTTGGACTGTCTCTAATTGAGATATAATGTCTATCATGGTTTAATCCCCAATGGTGCACAGGTTCTCACTCTTCCCCAGCCACAGAGGGATGTGGGAGAGAATTGGAAGTGTGAAAGTGAGAGGACTTCTGGATTGAAAGACAGTTCAATGGGACAGGAAAGGAAATAATAATAATAATAATAATAATAATAATAATAATAATAATAATAATAATAATAATAATAATAATAATAATAATAATAATAATAATAATAATAATAATAATAATAATAATAATAATAAACAACAACAACAACAACAACAACAACAACAACAACAACATAATACACAAAACAAATTATGCACAATGCAATTGCTCACCACCTGCTGAGTAATGCCCAGCCAGTTCCTGAGCAGCAGTCCCCAACCAGCTTTCCCCCCTGTTATATACTGACTGTGATGCCATACAGTATGGAATATCCTTCTGGTCAGCTGGGATCAGCTGTCCTGGCTGCCTTGTGTCCCCCAGTCTCATTGCTGGCAGGATATGAGAAGCTGAAAAGTCCTTGACTCAGTATAAACTCTGGTTAGCAAAAACTAAAGCATCAGTGTGTTATCAGTTATTCTCATACCTGATCCAAACCACAGAACTGCACTAAGTACTAGGAAGAAAATTACCTGTATCCCTGCCAAAACCAGGCCAGTGTGAGACTGGAGCAGGAAATGAAGAAGGTCTATAATTGTGTGTATTCTAGAATAAATGAGGGGGCAGCTGGCACTCTGACACAAGCATCTGGATTCCTTTACCATAAAGTCCACTACAGGGAATTCCTCCAGCCTCCTGACTTGTGCCCTTACCCAAATGTGGGCACATTCCCCCAGGACTCATACAGAGACATTCTTGGATGCTATCACCATCAGATGTGATGTAATTTCCTTTTAGAGAGCTCTGAGAAGCGTAGGAGGGCTCTTCCTGCTTCCTCATTGCAAAGCAATTGCATTCAAGCCTGAGGTACAGCAGTGCACGACTTCTAAATCCAGAACCCTCCAGCCTGGGGTTAAACAAACCCTGTAAACCCCTGTGCCATTTTCTACAAGGAAGAGTCATGACACACAGCTCAGGTTATTTAAAGTGGGTGAAAAGCCAGTTGTGGTTACAACTCTCCAAAACAGGATCTTACAAAGGGGAAAGACAAGGAAGAAATCTGTGAGGACCTAAAGGTGAAAAAAAAACACCTGAGAGGAGTTCTTACTCATTCTTCAAAGCTTTTCTGGTTTTCTGGACCCTTTGGACTTTGCAAGCCAGAGGGTGGAAATAGCTGGAGAAAATCAGGTAAATAAGGAAAACAAGAGATTTCTTGATGTTACTACCTGTGTCACAAATGCTGAGAGGCTGATGACAAAAGCATTTAGCTCTGGGATCTGCACTCTAAGGAACTCAGTAACTACCAGCTGTCCTCAAGGCCTGAAGGAAGCAGATTCCAGATATCACAGGTATCCCACATGGCATTTACACCCTGTGTGGTTGGCCAGTAACCAGCCTCATTGACTCATTTAGGTTGGAAAAGACTTCTAAAAGCATCAAATCCAATCATTAACCCTGCCAAGTCCACCAATAACCACATCCCCACGTCCCACATCTACATATTTTTAAACACCTCCCAAGACTGTGACTCCACCAATTCCCTGAGCAGCCTGTCCATGTGCTTGGCAACACTTTTGGAGAAGAAATTTTTCCTGAGGCCATGATTTATCTGGTATTAGCTGTCATCTGCAACCAAGGCCCATTGCATGAGGCACTGCACAAACACAGTCAGAGAGACTTTTCCCCAAAGATTTTTCAAGCTAAACAGAGAAGACAGCTGAATAAATTGCACGCAGACTCTCTTTAAAGAACCTGTCAAGCACCCTTTTGTAAAACCAGCTGTACTAAAACAGGGAAAGACCCCAGTAAAAATCATATTCCACCTCTTTTGCTACATTCCTTGATACAAAGCAGCTATATTTTGGCTCTGTCTCATAATTACTGTCATTATACCGTTGTCAGAACCCAGGAAATTTCTCTGGCTGCCCTGGAGTGCCGGAGCCCCTGCCCGGGGGGCTCGGAGACTTTGGTACAGAGCCCAAAACCCCTGTGCCTTTGATTTAGCCCTTGGATAAAACAATTATCAACCTTTTTATGAAGAATTACAAGTCAAAAGAATTTAAGTAGAATAATAGTTAGTTTGTCACGAGGTGAAAAATAGATTTTTGGAGTTTTTAGAATGGGGGTTCAGGAGGCAAGATGGAGGACTCTGGGCGTGCCCAGCCTTTTTCCCTCTTCTTCTTGGCCTCCATCTTCTGCTGTGATGTTGGCACTTTTAGATTAGTTTAGAATAGAAGCTCCCTGTCTAACATAGGTGATAGGTATTGAGAAGTTATGGTAAATAATGTACATGTAGTTTTTAGTATAAAAGAGAACACCACCCCAAGGATGGGCAGTGTGCCTCATACCGCCTGTGTATCACTTTAAATGATCTGCTTCCAACAACAGCGTGGTATTACATAAATACTGAACAAACCTTTCATAATATCCAGTCTAAACGTCTCCTGGCACAATTCAGGCCATCTCCTGCCATCTCCTGCCATCTCCTCTCGTCTGTCATTGTCACCCGGGAGAAGGGCCTGACGCGCCGCCATCCCGCCGCTCCTCCCGGCCACCAGGGGGCGCCAGGCGGCGGCGCGGCCTCCCCGGAAGTGACGCTGTTGTTTTCCTGCGCTGCTTCCCGAGGCCGCCATGGACATCCTGAAGCGGGAGATCAGCAGGAAGCGCCAGCAGCTGGAGGAGAAGGAGCTCCTGGGGGTGAGGGCGGCCGGCGTGGACAGCAGGAGCCGCCCGGGGTGTGGGCCCCGGGAGGGGGGCCGGGGTGAGGCGGGAGCGGCCGGAGAAGGGGGCGCGGAGCGGCCCAGGCCGGGTTTCCTAAAGCCGGGATGAGCCAGGAGGGGTTTGGGGGCGGGGGTGCAGCCTGGCTTTAGCCTCCCTGTGTTCCATGGGCTTTTGGGGCTGGTTTAGTTTATTTCGGGCACCGGGAGATGTAAAAAGTCAGTGCGAACTTTGGTGAACAGTGTGGTTTCTTTCCTCCCCACAGCCGCGTTCTTTCCATACCCGGGCAGGGTCTGACAGTGTGTGTGTGCCTAAAAACCCCATACCCGGGCAGGGTGTGAGCCTAAAAACCCCATATCCAGTTAGAGTGTGACAGTGTGTGTGTGCCTAAAAACCCCATACCCGGGCAGGGTGTATGCCTGAAACCCCATACCCGGGCACGGTGTGAGTGGTGTGTGTGTGCCTAAAAACCCCATACTGGGGCAGGGTCCGACAGTGTGTGTGCCTAAAAACCCCATGCCCGGGCAGGGTCTGTGCCTAAAAACCCCATACCCAGGCAAGGTGTGAGCTCTGTGTGTGTGCCTAAAAACCCCATACCGGGGCAGGGTCTGACAGTGTGTGTGTGCCTAAAAACACCATACCCAGGCAGGGTGTGAGTGGTGTGTGTGTGCGTGCCTAAAAACCCCATACTCAGGCAAGGTGTGAGCTCTGTGTGTGTGCCTAAAAACCCCATATCCCTGCAGATAGTGAGTTTTTTTGTGTTTGTCTAAAAACCCCATATCTGGGCAGGGTATGAGTGGAGTGTGTGAGCCACACATTGTCACACCCTACCCATACCTGGGCAGGGTGTGACAATGTGTGGACCCCTAAAAACCCCATATCCAGGCAGGGTCTGACAGTGTGTGTGTGCCTAAAAACCCCTTATCCAGGCAGGGTGTGAGTGGTGTGTGTGCCTAAAAACCCCATATCCAGGCAGGGTCTGAGCAGGATGTGTACCTAAAATCCCCACAGTACAGCAGAGCCCCTTTCAGGGGTGTCTAATTTTGAGTTTTGGCATCAGATGCTGAAGTAGAGAGCTGTGGTCAGAGGCTGTTGTAAGTTAGGCAAAGCATGAAGGAAGAAGTTGTAGTTTGTACTAATCGAGGAAAATGCTTTGGGGTGACCACATTTTCCAGCTGTTCTGTGTCTGGAATGTCTTTTCAGGCACATTTCTACAAAGCTCCTCCAGGCAAGCTTATAAAATACTGTGTGTAAAGGTGATCTCTCCCATCTCCTTGATTTAATGTCAAGTGATGTGTTTAGTATGATTTATCTAAACAGCCTGGGCCTGGTTGTGCATGTCTGAAGTGAGGCTTTACAGCAGAGACCACCTTGGCCTTACATGACAAAAAACTTGGGTTTTCTAAAGTGCTGGCAAGCGCATTGTACTTTGAATTCTGCTTCTACATATATCCTGCAAAGTAACTCTATATGTTGCTGATTTCAGAGGTGCTTCCAGCTAGGCATCTCTGGGAAAGGATGTAGCTGAATTCACCAAGCCAAGTAAGAAAGTTTGAGCCATTTTTGCTCAACCATGCAAAACTGTGAACTGGTAACAACTCTCCTCTCTTTTAGAGCAATAAGAAGTATTTCAAACGCAGTGAGTTAGCTAAAAAGGAAGAGGAGGCCTATTTCCAGAGATGTGGCTACAAGGTATGGAAATTGTTCTTCCAGGACTTGGTGTGTTTATTTTGAAGTCTGCATTTTTTTTTTACCAACAATATCAATGTTGTTAATGATAATTGTTGTTCTTTGTTCAATCTGTTAATGTTATACATTAGCCTGTAAATGAGAAGCCACCTGGAGAGGTATGACTTTCCAAAACCATTTTCAATGCAGGAAAAGATATGCATGACATACAGCTACTTAAGTTTGTGTTCTGGTTTGCCTTTTGTTTCTTTTTTTGTTTGTTTGTTTTTATTTGTGGAAAGCATGAAGTGGCTCGGGATCAAAGCTTGTCTTCCTTTCTTATGAAATTGTGCTGTTAGGCATGAACACTGGATCTGATATAGCCACCTTCCTCCCCTTACTGAGAAAAATGGATACATTTGGATAATTTTATCCCATCTTCATTGTCAAAATGTCCAAAAGAAATCAGTATAGTGTGGGTGTGCATCAAAAAAGATTTGCCAACTCTCCTAAATTTGTATTTGGGTTTTGGCCATTAACCACCCAGCACTGAAGCTGTGCAACAACAGCATTTATGTTCTTGCTGGCAAAATATTAGAAACAATTGGTAACCTCGGGTGCATTTTGCAACAAATGGGTGATCTGGAAGGCTTTATCTGCCTTGTAATGGTGTCAGGGCAAGAGTTTCCTGAAATGGAAAGAATGTTGTTGTCTTTTCCAAGTGTGTGTGCCTGCCTGCCTGCCTGATGGGGTGTCTGGGAGGGGGATGCATTCCCTGGGGAAGACAGTTTCATAATCTTGTTTGCTGTTAGAGGGCACAAATAGGAGCTTTGTTTTCCAGTGACCTTTACCCAGTTAGTGACTTATTCTGAAACCTTGATCTGTTTGTGCACATTTGAACATCAGTGCCAAAACGATTCTGGGAACGCGCAGCGTAAAGTCATGGGAAAGCTCTGGGAATCCAGCTGCTCTTCCAAGGGCACATGGCTGCCTGCTGCCTTCTGAGCATTACCTTGAATTCTTCAGAACCTCATGTGGTTCAAGTGGGGTTACCTGTGCTGCTGCAGCACCACTTTGGGTGTGAAATGCAACCCTGACAATGGTTTTAAAATAAGTTACTTTGTTGAATTTAGTATCTTTTTAGAGCCTCCCAGATTTTTGCATTGGTTCTTTACTCTGTTAATGAGACATGGAACACAGACTTATTTCCTTTTAAATGCAGGTGCTTTTTTTACTTTGCTTAGACTTAATAAATTGGAATAATTTCACTTGCTTGAAGAAAGCACTGAAACAAAATAACAGTGGTAAAGATACTGCTTATAACTTGGAGTCCAGCTGACAGAATGGATCACATCTTTTCTTCCAGTGCTGCTATCTCTTTATGTTTTCAAGAATGTTTGTAAGTTAAAATTTGTATGTATCCTTCTGCTCTGGGACTATATTAAAAAAAAAAAATTACACCTTCTTCCATATTTTCTGTCCCCTGTCAATTCCTCCTTCCCTGCATTGATGGAAATTTTATTTTCCCCCTCCCTTTATGTGTTAAACATTGATTTGTCTTTCCCTTGTTCATTCCAAACATCTGTACTTGTAGGATTGATTTTTTTCTGTGTTTGCTAGTACAGCATTGAATGTAGATTTGTACATCTGAAATTGCTGAATCTTGTAGCTGAAGCCCCAGGGGTGGATCCATCCCCACAGAGTCACACTGACACCTGAGCAAGGCTGGCACTGTCCCCTGAAAGAATAAAAAGCCTATTAAAAATAAAAAAAAAAAAATTTCTGTCCAGTACCTTCCTCATATTGATCAACCCAAATACAGAAATACAGGCTGCCCATGCACAGGGAATGCTGCAGGCTGCTCTAGCACTCTTTGGATTGTTTCCCTTTTAGCAAGTACAGAAAGGAAATAAATTAGGAATAAACAAGATATGAGTGAGCACTGAAGAGGTTTCCTGATTATAGGAATATTACCACCAGCCATGTGCTCCTGCTGTCAGAAGTGTTGAATTTGAGCTTATACAGGGAGCTGTAGGTACATGGCTGCTGCCTCAAAGTTACTTTGATCAAAGAGTTGTTTTGCATTATTAAAATACTGAATAATGAAGAAGGGATGCTCTCTTTGATTCAGGGACCTTCTTTTAGACTAAGAGGAATCCTGTTCCTATGAGGAGTTGTGTCTTTTTTGTCTTGTTTTGTTTTGGTTTTTTTTTTTTTTTTACCTGTAAGAAACTGGCAAGGTTGTTGGAGAGGTGCATTACCTAAAACAAGGTTGGAGAGGTTCGTTACCTCTCAAAACCCAACAGAAACTCTGGATCACTGCTAACTGTGCTCAGCTTGCTGAAACTGCAGATAATAAACACTATAACTGACCCTGGGAGAGGCAGCTCCACTCTCACCCTGCTCTGGGGTTTTCCTTCCTGTCCTTCTGTCTGTGCACGTGCTGGGAGCTGCATGAGGAAGTGAGGCAGGCTGGGAGCAGTACCAGTATTTGTGTTTGTCAGAGTATTTTCTGTTTGAATAATTTCCCCTTCTGGTTCATCACACATTGATGCAAATGGTCTTGCATGGGTAGGAAGGATGGAACAGGGGCAGGAATCAACAGGCAGAGGGTGGATTTGTTATTTTTGGCACCAGTGCTGGCATCTGCCTGCTGAAGTGACAGCCAAACTTGAGCAATTGTCCTTTCTGTTTGCTGGAGAGAGTGCTTCCTGCAACCTGCAGAAGTGTTAGTTCTTGATACCATCAAGAGCTTTTATTGTTTTGTGAGATGCAATTATGGAACATGAAGCCATTAAACTATGAAACTAAAGGTTAATTTAGTCATACTAAAGTCTGTGTTCCAGAGTTCTGTACCTTGCCATCATTTCCCATCCGTATGTGGGTTTGTTTCCATTGCACATGAGTAACTTTGTTTGTTAAATGTAGGTACAGCAGCAGGAAGAGGAGGAGAAACCACTAGCTACATCAAATCCAGTGCTGGAACTCGAACTGGCAGAGGAAAAGTTACCAATGACTCTTTCCAGACAGGAGGTAAAGTCAAAATCCATCAAGTGACTCCTTGAGTTTACGGCAAATGCACCTGAAATTTCTTGTTAGGGCTGTTTGATCCAGTGAACTGTACTTTTTATGGCAGTTTTATTTAATAATAAGCTTCCATTTTTGCAGTTAGCAATTAATGATTATCTTTGCTTATCAGGGCTCTGCTGTCCAATTGAATGCATAGGGAGGTGCAGATGTGTAGAGCCTCTCTGTTACAGGGATTTACACAGATATTTTATAACATTTTACAGCTCTTTCAGAGACATACCCTAAATATCAGCATTATTCTTGGATAGCACTGAAGATGGCATGCTGACTTTTTCCAATATTTATTTTTCCCTGAGCTTCTTTTCTTTGTAACTTGTTGGTCTGGGCACAAATTTAGAAATCAAGTTTTGGAAGTTCACCTTAGCCTCTAGAAGAAACAGTCCTAAAGGCAGGGCAGCTGGGGTGTTCTTTGCCTTTTCTAAGAGTAAAAATGCCTATGTGGATTTAAGTTCACAAACAGATCCACACCCCAAAGCAGAAGCAGGAAGTTCAGAAGTACAGAATACACTCTAATCTTGGAAATACTGAAATTCACAGCTGAGGTCATCCAAGCATGCCACACCTCCCCTTAATTTGTCAGGATATTTAGGTTTTTATAGGACTTGTAATGGGGGCTGTTGGTTTTGTGTTTGGTTTGAGGTTTGAATCAAGTTGAGGGAGGCTTTTCCCCTTCTGTTATATCTACTTTTAAAGTAACTATCCCATTAGATTTTGGGACTTCATATTTCCCAAATGCTTAATGATGGGGGTTTTCAGCAGATCATCTCATAGCTGTGCTGGGACAACCTGCAGCCCAGTTCATGTTTTTATTGCCAAGACAAATAGGTGAGTGAGATTATTGTCAAGTTCCTTTGTGATTTTGAAAATGGTTTTTAAGCTCTGCCAGAGGGATGATTTTTGTGTATTTGTTTAAACAAGTCAGAGCAGGAAGAAGTTTGGCTGTATCAGACAGCCTGGGATTTTATGCAGAATTTGGATCAGTAATATTTGGAATGACCTTTCACTGAAATACCGTGGGAATTTTATATTTAGATTGTAAAGTGTCTGGAACATTTTTTGACTGCTTAAAATATTGCCATTTCCTCTCCAGTCTAGCTCAGCTTGTTATTCTAAGCAAAGTAAATAAATCTGTCATTCTGGATTTTATTTTGCTTCCTTTATGCATCAGGGAGTGCTTTGATTCTTTTCAGGTTATCAGGAGGTTACGAGAGAGGGGTGAGCCCATCAGGCTCTTTGGAGAAACAGATTATGATGCATTTCAACGTCTGAGGAAGATAGAAATTCTTGCACCTGAAGTGAACAAGGTAAACCTGGCTCTTAGTTATTTATTTGTGGTGGGGTAATGAATAAGTAACTTTAGAAAAGTTACTGAAAATCATTTTCAGTAGCTGTTAATTTTCAGGAGGAGGGGGTAATAAACATCAAAGAGAATACATGCTCTTCTCTCTTTTTTTTTTTCTTTTTTTTTTTTCCCTGAGAAACTATGTTAAATATCAAATTTTTGTGCACAATTCCAATTAAGTTACAGAGTTCAGCCCTAGAAACCTACCAGGCCCTTGTCACTTGGAAAACGGGCTTTCAGGTGGCACTAATACCCCAGCTTGTTCTGCCCTTGCTTTTTAATGAGCAGAGAACTCATTTACTGTTAAATAATCCTGTGTTTGTGATTATGTGCACCCTGAGAAGGCACAGGTAAGTAAGAGCAGGACTGCGTACTGTCTCTCTGGAATAGAAATGATTTTTCAAATCCTTTGATTCCAGAGCTATAACTTGTTATGGAAGTGTCATTTTTCCCCCTTCCCTTTAAAGTAGCCATCAACTCAAAAACTGACTTGAAGATCTAATTAATTTATTCATTTTGTCTTAAGAAATGATCAGTTAAGTGAGGAGATACAATTGAGGTTTGTTTTGCATTCACTGTTAACCAAGTTTACAGCCTTACTGACAGAGTGACAGTTTGCATTTTCTTCCCTAATTTGTGGGAAACTGAATTGTTTTAAGTGTCTTTCCTGGGGCTGCCCATAAAAGGGAAGCCTTTTCCTCTCCAAGTCTTTAAAATATAGATAAACAGATCTAGAAAGAAAAGCTCTGCTAATGAAAGCTTCCCCTCCAGTGACATGGATCACAGGAGCAGGATTAGGAAATAGAGAGCCCATAAACAGGGTTGTGCTGGCTTTTTGTTACATGTTTCAGTCACTCCTGTTGCTGTCTAGGGGGATTCTGGACATTGCTTATTCAGTCAGCCTTGTGGTTCAGACATTTTTAGAGTAACTAAATGATTAATAGAAATGCTCCAGACAGCTAAATATGATGATGGAAGAGGGGAAGTAACTGTGCATATCCATTCCCTGTGGAGTAGCTGGATTTATCTGAGGGTAAGAAATGTCATACTCCTTTATAGAGCTGTATATTTTATGTCTCAAGATGAGAAGGTAAATCCTTCAACTGTGGTTAAGGTGAATTTTGTTCTATTTGAAAGGTTCTATTTGAAAGAACCTTTTAACTTTATATATGGTTTTAAACTGATTCTGGATTTTTTAGTCACCTCTTCTAAAGTTGAGGGTTTTAAGCAGTGAATCTATATAAAACATTCTACTATGTTTAAGTAATTTGTAATGAAAGGAAACAACATTATTGTTTTATGTCTGGCACTGAAGGAGTGAGACTTATTTACAACTTTTTTTCAGGGCAGATGTGAAGACTTGTAGAGCTGATGATGATTGTGGTCTGGTTTTCATTTGTTTTGGGGTGGTTCAGTGCATTGCTTGGAGAAAATGACTTGAAGTAAGTTCTAGAGGTTGATTCCATCCTCCAGGCTTTTTTTTTTTTGGTGAAAATACTGTAAAAAGTATTTTTCATAGGTATGAGCACTTGAGAAGTTCATGCACCTGCTTTTTGTTAAATGTTGAAGCAGAAACTGTTGTTGGAGTTCAGTTAAATTCAAACAACACTAAACCCTTATGTGTGTTTTTACAGAATTTGCACCTTAAACAGAAGTTAGATGCTCACATTGACAGTGTTGAACTGCTTTTATTTGCTTGAGGGTTTTTTTATAAACCAGTCTCTTTTTTTTTTTTTTTTTCTTTTTTTCTGTTTCCTAGGGCTTGAGAAATGACCTGAAGGCTGCTTTGGATAAGATTGATCAGCAATATCTGAATGAAATTGTGGGTGGCCAAGAAGCAGGAGATGATGACTCCCAGAATGACCTGAAAGTCCATGAGGAGAATACTACTATTGAAGAGCTAGAGGTATGGGATAGGTCACAATTAATGGATGTTAGATGTAGTATGTTGCTGTGAGAAAGCTTCAGGATTGTTTAGACAAAATTGTCTTCTTTTCAACAGCTGACTTGGGAATTTTGAAGTATTCTTGAGGAGAAAATTTAGGTTTCCAAGCTTGGAGTTGCACTGCAGGTGCCTACAAGAGACAAATGAAAACTCAAGTGGTCTTTGTTTAGAACACTTCATCCCAAAGGGGACAGGTGTTGCCTGCAAAGACAGTGATACAGTAAAGATTAATTCTCCAGGATTTCAGAAGTAGAGAATTTAATTCCAGTACATTACCTAGGCATAAATGCCAAAGCCTTTCCAATAAATATTTGAGAGGGTAATAAGGTCAGTACCAATTAATTTTCCCCATACAAGGAAAAAGGACTCTGAAAAATAGACACACAGAAAGAATATTTGATATAGAAACATCTAGGACAAAAAAAAAAGAGCATCAGAAGGAGGCAGACCACAGGAAATATAAGTGCAGACATAATGTGTCCCAAAAACTTGAGTGCAAGTGGCTGCTCTGTTCTGAAAGAATCCTGTGGTGTTTGTGTGAGTGAGTGCCAGGAAATGCATTCAGCACCTGGTGTTTCAGGATAATGTTTTGAAAAGGACATTAACTTGAGCTGAAGACTTTTACCCTTAATCTTCAAAACTCTTTGCAGGAGTTAATCTTCATAACATCCTTCCAAAAGTGTGTTTAAGAAATAATATGGTTTATAACTGAAAGCTGAAGTGAACACATTATTATTAAGAAATAGTCTGGGTTTTTTGTTATGTGCCAGAGGTTCTGGTTTAAAATAACTGCAGTACTAGAGTGGATAGCAGCAGTTGTATTGCACCTGAATTTTATTGATCTGTTAGCTCTTAAAATAACCCCTTTTTGTGGTAGTAGGGCAGGCTTGGTTTGAGCTATGCAAGCATTCTTTTTCTAAAAAGTTTGAAAACACTGCGTCTTAATTTTATGTTTCTACAGCTGTATTGCCTTGAGCATGAAGGCTTACATTGAATTTGACTTCGAATCTAGGAGATTTTTAAAAATAAAACTCACTTTGGAAACATGAGGGCAATGGAAATTGATAATAAATCCAACTATACCTATTGGAAAATGTTTATAAAACTTACTGTTAGTATTTACAGTTTTGAGGTTTTGGCAGGATGGTGGAGAATTGGAGCATACAGCAGGGCTTTTTTAGTGGTTTGTTGCTAGGTTTTGGGGTTTTTAAAAAAAATTATTCCCTCAAATTCACAGTTGCAATTAAATTATAAAAAGCCCCAGTACATCCGAGAATTGAAATAGCATAACAAAATAATTAGGTTAATTGATGGCTTTGGGGATCTCAAAAAATGCAGTGCACCCACAGTTCCTCTTAATACAGTGCTGTCAGCTGCTAATTATGCCAATAATTTAGTAGTAATGACTGAAGAATTACTGTTGCATTGACTTTGCAGAAATAATCATATTGCCATTGTGATGTAAATGTTTTTAATAGATTAACAAATTTCAGTAGCATTTGTAGCTGTTCCATGACCAGTGTTTGGGACTTTTTGTGGGATTTATTGCAGTTGGTGGTGCAGTGAACCAGACTAGACTAGACAAAGTAGAAATAATGGCCCTTTTTTCCCCTTGTTCCAGGCTTTGGGAGAATCCTTAGGACGAGGTGATGATCACTATGATATGGACATCATAACCAAGTTCTTGAAGGTAACAAACTCTAATTATTCTGTACTTGTGTCATATTGTTTCTTCCATGCAGATACATTTCAAGGATAGAAGGATGGGTTTCAGCTGCTTGAGAGGAAAATCTCACAGGTTATGTGTAAGATGTGGGTTTTTTGAAATGCTTGGCACTCCACAGCCTATGTTAGTCACAACAGTGACTTGTGCCAAATCTGGGAAAGAGCTCTTGGGAGAGCAGCAATTCTTCAAAATCTGCTTCTGCTTTTCCAGACAAAATAAACACGGTTTTGATTTTTGTGTGATATTTGAGGCAGTTGTCTGTAGCTGCCTCTGTGTGGCATCAAAACCTTTGGAGGAGTTTCCTTGGAACAGTGCAAGCTGAATTGGAATGTCACCTAATACTGGTAGTGAAATTAGGGAGTTTTAAAGGAAGTCCACAGGTTCAAGTGGATGGCAGGAAATTGTTTCCTGGCAAGAACCCTGTGTTGCCTCTCAGCTGGTTCAGCCAGTGCCTGTGTAACTGTTGTGGTAATCAAAGTCACAGCAAGAGCTGAAGCTTTAATTTGTGTGTGCACATTTAAGATAAGAGAGTTGTTCCTATCCCTCTGAAAAAGGTTTTACCTTCTTAACTCGGATTTCTCCAAAAAAGCCTCACTTTGCCTTGCTGGCTTAGCCCTGCGTTCTGTCAGTAGATGGCACCATGACACAGATGTGCTTGCTCCCTGCAGTTCCTCCTGGGAGTCTGGGCCAAGGAGCTGAATGCCAGGGAGGATTACGTGAAACGGGGCGTGCAGGGCAAGCTGAACAGCGCCACCCAGAAACAGACCGAGTCCTACCTGCGGCCGCTCTTCAGGAAGCTCCGCAAAAGGGTAAATCACCTCGAAATGCCTCTGCTTTGATTGCCAAGCACCCAGCATCAGCGCCCTTGCCAGGAGAGGGGATAAGTGAATTGGTGACAGTTTCTGTATCTGCAGCTCCTGACACCCAGTTCTGATCTTATCTCAGTCAGTGAAATCTGCCCACTCACTGCTTTTCCAGCTGTTTAAAGCAGCACCTGCTCCCTGGGTTGCAAACATGACAGAAAATTGGGGTTGCATTTTGCACTTTGCCATCAGCTACCAGGTGTAACCACTTAACCTCTCCTCTTCAGATCCTGCATCTGAATAATGAACATGTTTTCCTTTGTGAAACTCCTCAAGCAAGGGTAGCTGCTAAACTTTGCATAAATGCTGAGTAAGATGATTTTCCTGAGCTGCTGTTCTGAAGTAAATTTCTTTTCTTTCTTTCCCCTCTCTCCTGTAGACACTTCCTGCAGACATCAAAGAATCAATAACAGATATTATTAAATTTATGTTGCAAAGAGAATATGTGAAGGTATGTTTGTTTCTACTTTTCTGTCATGTTCACGCTGTCTGGTTTTAAAAGATTGAGTTTATTGCTTCAGCATTCCCATATTTTTTTTTTAATTTTGAAGATGCATAGCTGGAAATACAACATCTATCCCAACAAAATGAAAAATGGCTGTGAAATGTTAGGCTCTAAGTAGTGTTTGATCCACAGCCTGACAGAAGAGCTTTTGAGATTCATGAAACTGCACAGCTTTGTAAACATGAAGAAAATTTTTCTCAGAGATGGGTATATTAAGCTGCAGAGGCATTCCTCAAGGGGAAAGCTGATTTTCTAAGGTTAAATGAAGGGATTTAATAGTAATAGGGCGTTGATGATTAATTAATTAGGAAATAATTGAGGCAAACTGAGTTATTGAATATGAGGCACTGTCCCTTTCTTTGTCTAAACTCACATTAAGTGGCCTGGTAGGGTTGAGGTGAGTTAATGAGAAGATTTTTGGAAGAAGTCTGCTCACTGCAGGAGGCAGAAGTACTTTGGGACACAAGATCAAAGGCAGTATTAGGTTTTATTTGTAGCTGCCTTCAGAAGTGAAACTGAAATACCAATAGCATTTGCTGAAGCAGCTTGTATATGCAGAGGAAACTGAGCTGTCTTTTGCCTTTAAATTTCTAGTATTTCTTACTATTCTTGTGAGGATTTGACATAATTTGTCAAGTAAGCAAGCAAACCTTCTTTTGATGCTGAAAAAAACTTGGTATGGCCTGAGGCAAATTTAATCCGAATCATTTGGAAGCAGAACTGAACATGTGGGATGTACGATAGTGAGATCTTATTTTGAAGCATTCTTTTTTCTCTTGGTTGTCATCATTATGTGGAAATTCCTTTCCAATACCATCTCAAACTAATGAGCATGCAGGAATGTGGTGTATCTCTGGGTTAATCAGCAGTGCTTCTCTCTCCTGGAGGTGCTTGCCTTTAACTAAACTTCACAGAGATTTTGGATGACTTGAGTACACATTTGGATGTTTTATTATTTTGTTTTTTACATTAGGCTAATGCTTTTACAGATACATCCTTTTCAATTTTACTTCCTAAGAGACTTGCCTCTTTTTGCCTACTCTTGTCTTGTGTCTCTTTTTGCCTGCTGCTTGCTTTGTGCACCCTAGTGAATACTGTCAGCCACAAATTCTTGCTGCTTTGTTAGTTGAAAAGCTTGGAAGGTTTTAATTTTGAAATCAATGTGTTGACAGCAGGCAAATGCCAGAATACAAGTTGTCCACTCAGCCTTAATTAACCCTATTGTGACAGTCCTGCAAGGGTCTTTAATTGCATATTCACACACTGTTTCATCACAAAAGTATATTTAAGTCAGCAAGTAGGTATTTGACTAAGACTGTTCAGATTCTGCCTCAGGTAGCTCTGTCCTCTCCTCAGATTTGCTTTTGGTCTGTCTGGCACCCCTGCCTTGTTCATTATTCACCTCCCAGTTTGTTCAGTGCTAGCTGGAAAGAATCTGCACCCACTGATCATGATTGCTGCTTCTTATTGTCCAGCTTCTGAATAGGAGGTGATAAATGAACTCTTTATCAGTGAATTTTGTAGCTGCTCTCTAATAGAGAAGGAATGTCCTGTTCCACGTCCTTCAGGTTTTTTCTGCAATTGTATCTCACTTGCTGGTTCTCAGTTGTTATGTTGGGTTTTTTTCAGCTCTATACTTCTCTTCCTTTCTGCCTTTCTTTCTATTAATTTTCCCTTTGAGTTTTATCCCTGTTTTTCCCCAGGAATGTTGTCTGTTACAGCTTTAAAACAGGATCTGTGCTCTTGATGGGAAATTCCTGATCGATTTACTGCTGCTACTGCTCTGGCCTTAAGCATGGTTACAAATGCAACCTTATTTAACCAGAGATGGTTGAGTTGAAAATAATCCCAGGAAACCTAGTTTTGGTCAAGATAACCAGAGTGCCTTATCCAGTTCTGTTTTTTCATGAGGGACAGTGCACAGTCCTTGCTCCCCTCGGAGTTCCCCGTGGGAAGCTGCGTTGTGCACTTGGTGAATGCCATGCAGTGGCACCAGATCAGGGACACTGGAATGGGGCTTTCACTGCAGCTGGCAGTGCACAAGTGCTCAGTGTGGTGCTGAGTGGTGCCCTTCCCTCTCCAGGCCAACGATGCCTACCTGCAGATGGCCATTGGGAACGCCCCCTGGCCCATCGGCGTCACCATGGTCGGCATCCACGCGCGCACGGGCCGCGAGAAGATTTTCTCCAAGCACGTGGCCCACGTGCTCAACGATGAAACTCAGAGGAAATACATCCAGGTAATGGCAGCTTTGGGAATCCAACAGCTCTGCTTGTCTGGGGGGGTCTGTGAGAAACAGCAGTGTCATGGTAACATCAGGTGACGTGGTCAAAGGATCCCAGAAATGGGCAGGTTTAGTTTGTGTCAAGCAGAACATCCAATGGACAGTAGCTCATCCTGGACCTGGAGGCTCTTCAGTGCTGGGCCAGGAACAGTCTGATGGGTTTTCTGAACTGCTGTGATCCTGCATGAGCACCAAAGCAGCTGTGAAGACAGGCTTGATTCTCCTAGGGCCTCTCACTGCTTAACTTGTGCTTTAAACATGCACAGAATTTAATACTGTAAAATTCAGTCCTACTGACTACTTCTGCAACTAATATATAATATACTAATAAATATACTATACTAGAAATATACTATAATAAATAATATACTATATACTAATATATACTATATACTTATGTGTAATAAATGCATTCATTAATAAGTTCAGGAATCTGGGCTCAAAATTCCAGGTTTAGCTCCTTCTGGGCATCTTCATACTCATGTGGGTTTCTGGTTGTGGAAATAGTAGCAGTGCTGTTTTTCTACTCTGCCCTTTCCACACAGTGGGTGGACAGGGCTGGGGAAACAAGCCTTCTCTCTTGGTATTGTTAAATTTGTTTGGCTTTTGCCAGTTGCAGTTTCATTGAGATAAAAAAACCTTCTGGGTTAAATCTGAAGCCTCCAGAGCAGCATCATGGAGCTGGTAGGGGAGGTTTATAAAAGTCTTCCTTCTTCAGCAGCAGGACTCCTGTTGCTTTTCAGCTCCTGCAGATGTCTGCAAGGAAATTGCTTGCAAAATACAACTTCCCCTTCTGCTCTGAGTCTCTCTGTATTTGGGCTGTTGGTAGAACCTTTGGTTTCTCTTCAACTCTAGTTTTTAATAGCATAACCTGAAAAAATATCATTGTGAAGTCACAGGGGCCTCCAGACACTTACAGAGACAACAAATTAAATTTGACCAATTATTTTGTAAGGTGAAAATTGGCATGTGGATTATGCATCTTCAGAGTCAGGTTCCAATTATGCTTGGAAGTATTTAATGGATGAAATTAAACTAAATAATGTTGTTGTGGTCTGTGTTAATCCCCATGTCATAAGGCTGAATAATTCATAGAATGACAGAATGATTTGGATTGAAAGAGGCTTTAAGAGACTGTCAAGTTCCAACTCCCCTGGCAGGGGAACCTTCCAGACCAGGCTGCTCAATAATTGGCTTTCTCTGTCCATTTGCCACTCCTGGAGCTGAAGGATCTCTACTCTGGAGTGTTGCTTGGTCTCTTTTAACATAACATGACCTTGTGGAAGATGCGTGTGAATTCCCCAGTTTGTCCCTTCTCTGCTTTTGGGGCTTCCTCTTTTGGCCAAGGAAATCCTTGAGTTCATCTTCCCACTGGGAATTTCATACCTCTGCTTCTAGATTACTCAACTCGGTGCAGCACCAAGACAGAGTTGGTTTTAAACATTTATGTTCTTCATGCTGGTTTTAGATATTTGGGTCTTGTTTGACAAGTTTGGTTCAACCTGGAGCACAGGGAATTTGTTACCCGTGCTCCCAGCAGCTGCATGAAGCAAACTTGTTCCAGATTGCAGCACTCTGGAGTGAGAACATCCCAAACAAGGAGTCACTGTGGGGCTGGGACAGGCTGTCCATGCTTGCCTGCATGAGAAGGGCCAGAGCATCATCCTGTGAATCATTTTTTCATCATGGAGCTGCCTTCCATGAGGAGAGTCTCATGACAGGGCCATGACTCTGCCATGGTGGAGTGCAGTGTCACTGCTGAATTGCACTTCCACCACAGCATTGCCTTTCTTCTTTGTTAGACTTTTCTGTGTGACTTGAAAGAAAATAATCACAGGGTTCCTGTCAGGGTTTTGCCAATTGATGCCTTGAAAGAACTGAAAAGTCCACATTCTGCCTTTCTCCTTGATTGATTCAGTTTGCCTCTGTGATGTCCTGTGTCCACAGTTCTCCTCCTGAGAAGTGTTTGGTGTGTTTGGTTCTTGCCTTAGCTCTGCAGGTTGTTTTGAAATTGCTTTTTGCTCTTTAGAATTAATTTTAATATTCAGCTTTCTTGTAAGTATCTTCAATTATGATATCATTTATTCCCTTGGTGATAAAGAGGCATTAAAGAATTGCTGTTACTCTTCACTGTGAATCCCATCTTACCAGGTGGGATTGAAGCCTTTTTGATTCTGCCACAAACTCCTCTAATATTGAAGAGAACCTCAAACTTTAAACAGAATAACTACCAAAATAAAAATCCCAACCTTTTCTTTTTAATTCTTCTTGTTAAGCTTAAGAATACTGTAGACTATTAGATTTGTTCAACAGCTGCAGCCTTATGACAGAATTGTCTTTGTTTTGTTACTTCCTAGGGGCTGAAGAGGCTCATGACCATTTGCCAGAAGCACTTCCCAACAGATCCATCCAAGTGTGTGGAGTACAATGCTCTGTGAGGCTCTGCTGGGACTCACATTTTGGCCTCCAGCACCCAGAGGATGCAAGAGGCAAACTTTGAGCCTGAACACCAACAAGAACTTGGGGTGGGCTTTGCAAAAAAAGCAGAAAGGAGGATTTTTTTTTTTTTTTTTTTACAGCTTCCTTTTCCCAAGCCCCATTGATTTAGGTTTATTTTGGAATCTGTGCTTTTTGCTGAACACATCCAATGTACAGCAGAGGGATGGGTTTTGAAGAGTGTAAGACCAAGACAATGACCAAGGGACAATGCACATGACAACTGCTTTTATTTCAGTTTGTTATTCAGGGAACTGTGCAAATTGAACTGTTTCCCATATTTCAGAGCTTTAGATGAGTCTCAGCCCTGCAAGGAGCATATGTGGAGCTTTTTTTGGCTGCTTTTGCATTGGAGACTGATGTGGGGAGATGATTAGAGGGAAGCAGTTGAATCTGAATCTTGGTTATTTCTGTAAATATAAAGACTTTATTGGTTAATCTTTCATGTGGTATTTATCAGGAATAAAAAAAAAAGGTTTATGTATTTCTCAGCCTCAGTGCAAAGAGTTTTTGATCTTGAATGCATCTGATTTGGCTTTTTTTTTTTTTTTTTTTTGGTAATGACATTTTTAATATGAACCTTCTGGGCTTGGGGGGAAGTAATCTTATGGCTTCTTGAGGCTTTCAAATTCCATTTTTATACATCTGGAGAAAATTTTCAATCTGCTGGGCATTGCAGAGAAAATAATCAGGACCTCCCATGACCATGAACAGTATTTCTAGCAGCCACAAATCTTTTACCATTGTGTATCCTGACTGGGGATGGGGAGGAAACTCATGGGAACGATGATGTCTAATTCTGCATAAACAGTGAAACATTGAAACTTTGTTAGTTTTGAGCAGAAGAAATGTGTCCCTGTTCCATTGAATGGGTTTGTCTGGGTCCTCACCTCAGCTGGCAGCTTGGAGCAGGAGCTGGAGCCCTGTTCTCAAGACCTGTGTCCCTTGGGTGTTCCCAGTGTCCTGTGGCACAGGGAGGGATGCTGGGGGATGTCAGCTGGGAAGAGTATCTTGGACAAATTCAGGTTCTTCTGGAGACTCTCTTAGATTCTCAAGTGCTTCTCTGGACACAGGAGATTTTCAGTCTGGAGTGTTTGACCCCAGAGAAAATGTCAAGAGTTTGGAAGTAATAAAATGAGGCTGATGAGACCTGGCTGTCTCTTGGGGGAAGGGCCTTTGGGGAGGAGATGGGGATTTGTGGGGAGCAGCTGGGCAGGTGTCAGGAGCATGGGAGGGTTTCATTGACAGTGATTTCTGGTGATTTTCTTTGCAGTGCTCTGTCCAGATACTCCTTGGGGGCGTTATTGCAGTGGAAACATTTGTAACACTGCAACTTTATCCCTCTCCCCACCCCGACGGTTTCCTGAACTGTTTCTAAATCTTTATCTCGACCTTAGTTTTGAACTCTGTAAATAATTGAGGGACAATATTGTCCCTTGTTCAGAAGAGCTGTAATTTCCCTGGAAACTGCAGCAAGTGAGTGGCCAGGAGATGGTTTAAGGAGCATTGTATCATCTGCTTTAGTGGGAAGCAGATTCCTTAGGGGATCTGTAATAGTGCTAGATGGATTTTTCCTTCCTGCCTTGGAGCTAATTATTGAGGAGAATTTAATGGTACCCTGAGTGCTGGTTTGAGTGGGGATGTGCCTCCTGTAGGGATGTGAATTTGAGGTTGGAATGTCTTAGTCTGATCAGGTTTTAAGGAATGCAGTTGAAGCAATGTTGCTCCTTGCTGACAGTCCCTGAAATACAGCTTGAGTGAATCCCATGATGGAAGAACTTTATCCCCTTGCAATCCCTGGAATGGTGCTGTGTGGGGAACTGAGGAGCTGGGAACTACTTTCTCACGGCACATCAGGCTAAGAATTTCCAGCTGTCCAGCACGTGAGAGCCAGCTCTGGTCCTCAGGGGACAGGGGCCAGGGGGACACTGTTCCAGCAGCTGCTTTTCATCATGGCTTGGAGGCTCTTTGCAGCTGCATGGCCCCAAATTGCAGCTACCAGACCGTGATCAAATAGTTAATAATGCCTCTTAGCCAAAAAAATCCCAACCCTCAGTCACTGCAGGGAGGAGTGGGTGTGGTGCAGCTGTCACACTGCTTGACAGTTTGGGGTTTTTTTTGTGGGGAGGGTATGTTTCAGTTTAGCAATTTACTTTTCCCTCTAGGCTTTTCCAGATGTTTATTTCTGATAATTCCTGCATTAGGCGGAAATAACTCTGCTGAATCCTAGGACTTGCAGCCTTAGGATGAAGTCATGAGTTCACCATGGTGGTGTCTGGAGTGGTTTTGGGACTTCAGTGCCCCTGGTCATTTGTTGCAGTCCCTGACCCTTCCCCAGGCCTGGCTGTGGAAGGGCCTGTGCAAGGTGAACTCTAAAACTATTGGTACCTGCCTGATACTGGTGTTATTGTGCCAAATGAAGACAGAATGGGTCATCAGAGAATGACATGGCCCCTTACCTGGAGCCCCTTAGACCCAGGATGCTGCAGAACACCACATTACTTGGATTTTATTATGGCATTTAGGTGGGAAAGGAGACAAAAAGCCCAAAGCTGAGTTTTCCCAAGCTGTGAGACCATTCACCCAGGGAATTTCCTAAGATTGTTGAGTGGTTGGTGGTTTTTCTGACAGAGCAGAACAGAAACTGCTGTGATATCAAATGGCCAAAGCATTTGCATGGGTATTTATTTTCTCTATGAAGCACCTTATGATGGTTTTGCTGTGGAATTTTTATTTTTATTGAATAAATGACCTTTTTTCTTGTAACTTCTTTTTGTCCTCCACAGGGATGCAATCAGATTATTATAATTTTTTAACAGTTAGAAAATTCAAGCACTTGAACTCATTTGTTATTCCATTATATTATTTTTAACACTTTTGTTGTTGTTGTGTGAAGCTGAGCAATGCCTTAAATTCCCTATTTGCTATTTGTGCTGCTGGGAAGGTTCTTAGGGTAGGTGTGTGTGAGATGAGTTTAATGGAGGAACTGGGTTCTTCAGCTGGCTGCCATAACATCACCACCATCACTCCAGTCTTGCCCAAAGGATGAACCTGACTGGGGTGTAAGTGGCTTCACTTCTCAGGGGGAGGAGAGTGCTCTGACTCCTGCCCCCAGGGATGAGAACACAGCGTGGTGCCTTCCCAGAGGGCTGGTGCAGGGTGGGCAATGCTGGTGTCAGACCTGGAGCAGCCCTGCCCTGGAAGCTGAGGTGCTGAAGAGTGAGTGCAGCACTCCTGGAGTTACTGCCAAGAAATCTGAGCCAAGATCCCAGAGAGCAGGGGGTGTCTGAAATCCTTTGCTGTGGCTGTTTGGTCCATCCCAGACCCTCCTGGGGATTTACTGCAGGCAAAGGTGATGAACTTCATCATCATCATCAATAACATGCCTTGTTCCTGGGTGATGGTCACAGGGGCTTGCCTGGCTCTGGGCTGCTGCTCCCAGTGGGATGTGGGGGGATTGGGTGCATGATACAGGAGGTGCTGGGAGGGGAAGAGGCTCCCTGGACAGTGGGAATAAATGGAAGGAGCAGGAAGCACTGGCAAGTGTGGGTGGCCCCATGTGAGACTCTGTGGCTGTTGGAAGCTGCCTGTGGTTTTGAGGGGTGCTGGGTGGCCAAAGGGGCCACAGAGGGGACACCAGTGATGTCAGTGATGTCCCCAACCCTGTGCAGGGGGCACTGCTGCCCTACTGAGCCAGAGCAGCCTCTTGGAGTGGGCTCCCTGGGGAAGTCACTTCCTTGGAGCATGGGGAATGTGCTGGTGCTGCAGCCAGTCCCACAGCTGCTGGCATTGCTGGAACAGCCTTGCAGCCACTTGGCATCCAATGCACGTAGGTGAGCATTAATTTTAGTTATTTCCAGTTGTGTTTTGGAAGTAAATATTATTTGTGACTTTGCTTCCCACACTGGTGGGACATCAGTCACAGTCCTGCTCCTCCTGAGCCCCTGGCCCAGTGCTTGGGAGAACATGGCAAGGAGGCAGCTTGGATCAGCTGGGTGCTGAATCCCGAGGCATCTCTGCAGGATGGGCTTGTCTGGGGCAATGCCAGTGTGTCCTGCAGTCAGCCAAGGAGCAGGTCCCTCATGGACACCCTGGCCAGCTGTGCACACATCTGGAGCAGCATCTCTAGCAGGGCTAAGGATTGCCTGGGCTCTGCCCTCCCAAAGAGACCATGGCAAGGTTTCATTTTGAAAATGCTTTAATAAGGAAGTGTTGACAACACCGTTTTGCAAAATGTAAAGGTAACTATACAAATTCTTAATACAAAAAGAATAAATTAAAAGCAGATTTTTTTTAATTCTGCAACTTTTTCTACAACATACATATTTTTTTCCTTGATTACAGTTGAACAGAATCCAGTAAAATCATTTTCCATGCTCTAAAGTCAATTTCAGGAGAGACCTAATTTTTTTCTTTTTTTTTTTTTTCTTTTTTTTAAACTAGAGAGTCCATTTTACACAACTTGTAATAAAACTATTGACATTAATATATATGTAAAACTTTACATCTAGTTAACTAAGCAGTAACTGGTCATCTGATAGCACCTGAATGGGGATTGGCTATGCCTGAAACTAAAACTAATACAGAGTGAAAACAAATTGGACTGATTCAACATTTTCAACACTCGACTGCATATAATATCATTTAAAAATAAACCCTGCCTCCCAGCACAGCCCCTGCAGGGGCTGTCCCCTGGCTCCTGCCCACACAGAGGGAGTGTCAGACACAGAGACTGAACGTGGTTGTGGCTTTATGGCAGATGGAGCCTTGAAAAATAAAAAAGTAAAGGAGGGGTTAAGTTGGTAGTCAAGTGCTTGTCTATAATAGCTATGTATATGCCCCTCTGTGTTATACTTAAATATGTTAATCTCATATGATTAACATTTTATGTACATTTGTGTTTAATTGAATTGAGCTAAACAGTAAAACCTGTTTTACTTAATCTGTCTTTACTACCAGACTGGCTGCTCACATGTGCCTTGATTGCAAACCAGAAAAGCAGAACACAAAGCAAAACTCAATCCGTTTCTAGAAAGCTTCTTCTTCCACTCCAGCCTGTTTGCAATTCAGGCTAAATATTTTTATTTCTCCCCCCTAATTTCAGGGCTGCCACCTTTTAACCTTTGCTGCAAAACTGCAGAGCTGGTCTTGGAGGAATTAATGTTTCTTCCTGTAGTGCCCAGAGGCCTCATAGTGCCGCTGTTGTTGAATTCTTTTTAATTAAAAGAAGGTACACAGAAAAAAAAACAAACCCAAACCACTTACCAGGGAAATTAAAAAGAAAACAGACAGTTGCTCAGAGCCCCTAAAAATCCTTGGGCTAAATTATTTGCTGTAGCTTAATTTGGTCCTTATTTAATCCTTTTACTTCAGCTACCAAATTTTATCAGTAAATGTCATTAATCAGTACTATCTCTTATCCAGCTAAAAATCCAATTAGGAGCTTGAAATAATTCCCATGTTAAAGACCCCAAAGCACAAAGAGATGGTG